TTGACATCCAGGGGTTTTATATTTGTACCTCTATATTGTCGCTATGTAGCGATGATGATTTACATAAGGGGGTTTTGAATAAAATGTCATGGTAGTCTTATATAAGGGTCTGTTCCCAGCTATTGATAATGATCCTTATTTTCGATAACTCAGTTTTCTGACACGCATAATTACAACGTACCCAACCTAATTAAACGCTTGTTTCTTCCTCTTTATGAAATAATTGTCACCGGCATAACTACATGAAGCCATAGAACGACGTACTGGGGGTAACACAGAGTATATTTTGTAGACACGTCGAAGCACGTTCAGGTTTCAGTTTCCTTATGTGACACCATTGTTTATACCTTGAACGAATCTGTAACGGGGATGGAACGCAGGTGAAAGATAATACGAAACCGAAAATTACAATCCCCCTTGGATCACATGAGAATCATACATACGGAAATAACCGAGAACACTCGTTAAAAGAAACAGAGCCTTTTCGTTTCTAATCAGATTTGTGATGGCACTATTGCCTGGGTTAACGTTCTACCGAGCGTTTGGATTGTTTCAAATTTCTTTGGTCGTTCTTGGATGTGGTCTCGTTTCCTCTGAAAATGATTCTTCACCCCGATTTCCAGTTGGCGATCCACGAAACTGTCCTCTTGCAAGCGGCGTTTATCGCTTCGAGGTTCTTCCGGGAGGCGGCTGGGACAACCTAAGAAATCTCCATATGGGCGCTGTTTCAGTCATGAATTATTCCAAATGTAAGACTTCGGACGACGGCAAGTATCTCATTCCCGATGATGTGTTCTTGTATCCTGTCAAGGAAAGCAAAGTGCATGTATTCGCTGAAATGTACGATCACTGGAATAACTATTCGTCCACCACAACGAAGTCTATCAATGCTGAAGCTTCGGGCACATTTGGTTTTGGAAGCGTAAGTGGTTCATACTCTTCTGAGTTCGAATCAGTGAAGAAACATCAAGTGGAAGACAAGTCTGTAACCACACGAGCGCAACTACGCCATGATTTGTACACGGTGAAACTCCAACCCGATGCCCCTCTACAGCCAGCGTTCAAGTCGCGTTTGCTCGAAATCGCTTCACACTTACAGCACAACAATACTGCCTATGCGAGTTTTCTCGCGCAGGTATTGGTTCGAGATTTCGGAACGCACTATGTTACAAGTGTCATGGCTGGAGCAGCCCTGGCCAAAGTGGATCACTTGACAAAGAAATTTGTGGCTGATTTCGATGAAGATAAAAGTAAGATCACAGCAGCAGCAAGTGCATCTTTTTTCGGGGTGTTTGGAGCCAGTGCGAGCTATACTCAGACAACTGACAAAAAAGTTTTAGATCAATATACAAAGAACACTGCATATTCCACAGTATATACATTTGGAGGACCTCCCTTCAGGGTGAATTTTACCATCAATGAGTGGGAAGACCAAATGGCGGACGAGCTGGTTGCAGTTGATCGGTCAGGTGACCCTCTACATTTTGCAATTACACATGGAAGTGTACCAGAACTGTCTGAAGAACTGGTCTTCAAACTAGCCAGCGTCGTCGAAAAAGCCATAAAGCAGTACTATGAGCACAACACCATCAAAGGATGCACCAAGATGGACTCTCCGGACTTCAGCTTTCAGGCCAACCTCGATGATGGATCTTGCGAGAGCCCAACCAATAACTACACGTTTGGGGGTGTCTATCAAACGTGCCAATGTGAGGGCTCTCCATCCAGTAATCCATGTGGGTCCTTTGTTCAGAAGAACCCTCTCACAGCCGACTACACCTGTAGTAATGGTTATGAACCAGTCATGGTACATCAAGGTCGCACACCACAAACCTGCCATCGCGAATGCCACGGTTGGTGGATTTTTAAAAGCTGCGACACCTATTGTGGATTTGCCAATTACTACACCTACTGGTGTGTTGCGAAGGGTGCGGTGCCTCCTAACACAGGGTATCTCTTTGGTGGACTCTACAGCAATGTGTTAAAGAACCCAGTCACACAAGATCACAGCTGTCCATTGAAGTTTTACGCCCTGCGCTTTGGAGCCACCATGCATGTCTGTGTGAGCGATGACTACGAGCTAGGCTTTCAGCAGTCTGTACCTTTTGGTGGCTTCTTCAGTTGTAATACTGGTAATCCTCTAGGTGTGAAGAAATCTTCCAGCCGTGCCAAAGGATCAAACGGTATGTTTCCTCCCTTTCCCGTTTTACACCCTTAAGTCGGTAGGCATATTCTCCCGACTTTTCTTCAGACATTTACTAGTAATAGTAACGACAGGGAGGAATTGTTTAAAGTGCCCATAATGTCAAAAAATGTTTTTTTGCTCATCTAATTCTACATTTCACCAAATGAACTTCTGCGAAAAAAATCTCCGATTTGGATAAAACGCAATTTTTTTATGATTTTTTTAAAGACATTCAAATTTGCCGCCATTTTTGTCCACCATTCGCACCAGTCTTCCTCGGTTTAAAGGGAGTCGTGACGTAGGTTCAGGAACACGTGATTTTAGGTTGTGACTTATCTGACTTGAAAACGAGTGGGAATTTGCTTCAGTGTGGTCACAATATCGTAAGCTCACAGTATCGTAAACGACCCGCACTCGACCAGTGTATTTATATGAACTTTAAGGTAAAGTGAGGTTCCTGAACCTACGTCACAGACATCAGTCACGTGGTCATTTTGAGCACGTTTTTCTTGTGATCAGCGGCAGGGGTCGACCGCAAGAAAATAGAATTTTGAACTTTGTAAAAATTCGTAAAAAAAATCGCGTTTTATCCAAATCGAAAAAATTATTCACCGAAGTTCATTTGGGGAAATGTAGAATTAGATGAGCGAAAAAAGTTTTTTGACATTATGGGCACTTTAACGATCAAGAGCTTCTTTGATAAATGATAATTAATAATAATAATAATAATAATAGCTTGTATTTATATAGCGCTCATATCTTGAACTCATGGCGCTTTACAACACTGTGCGGGGGACTTTACCAGACTGCTAAGCAGTTTACAATCAAATGAAGGCGAATATAACAGATGCCCCCTTCCCCCAATTCCCAGTAACCAGGCCAGACCACATCACAGTAATCTCGTGAAGTGGGTTCTTTAACGTCCCCTGCCTAACCAAATTAACTAATGAATAGATGCAGGAGACGGGACCTCCATTTATTCGTCCCTATCCGAGAAGACTAGAATATCTAACCGTTTCTTGATCGATGTCATAGAAAGGTAGCATATTCTTCTCAATTATTTTAAGACCCTGAGTATTGGTCCGGCCGGGGCTCGAACCCTCGACCTCCCGCACAACAGTCCGGCGCTTAACCAATTGAGCTAACCGGGAGGCGGTTATTATTATTATTATTATTATTCCAGCGTATCTTTTTTATGCAAATGTATCTGAAATGACCTCTAGGAAGCTTCACTGGCATTAAGAGCATTTAACCAGACAATGAATGTGGGGCGTAACCTTTTGGTTTCAATTACCAAACCGCTAACCCACAACCATTAACAATTTTTGCGCTTTGTTTCCCAATGTAGGTATGGCTGTTTCTTTCGCTTACCTTTACAGACATGTTTCCTTTGAAACTTTGTTCAGTCCAAGTATTTTCCCTTCCTCATCGGTGTTAACCAATTAGTTTTTTTCCCTCTTGCCTGATGAAAATGAATGACACTCCTTTTTAACTCTAACTTTAAAACATGGCAACCTCAAAAACATGGATGAATTGTAAGGAAACATGATTTCCTTTACTCTACTTCGAATTTTGTCGCTGTGATGATTTGTCTTTCCTCACTACAAGAAGGTAGCCAGCGAATAGAGTCAAGGCGGACTGTTTCTGTAGGTGTAGGTTGGAAAGATTGGAGCTAGCCTGAATGTCAATCTACTCCACGAGGGAAAAGCATGTTTCATTGAAGCGGTCACTCAAAGTTCCTCCAAATCTCTGTTGATTTTGTCAACAAGAAGTTTGTGCAGGCTCGCATGCAAGCTCGCTTATTCGTTTTGCCCTCTGTTTCTTTGCAGGTCACTCAAGCCTGGAGTTGTTCGTGAAACAGTCTGGTTCGTCGGTATGGCCAAAAACCTGTCCAATTGGTTATTCTCAGCATTTGGGAGCCATTGAAGAAAATTGTGAGATCAACTTCTGCGTGAAGTCGAATGTATTTAACAGCAAGGGATTCCCCATCATCAAAAGACCCCCTTACTCAAATGCGCCCAAAATTTACAAATACACTGTGCCCTTGCTCGTGATCAACAATGACACCGGACAAATTTGGTTTAAACGATCCAACTCACCACATTGGGTGTTGGCGACTAAAAGGCAAGTGAAAGGAATTTCGCTTACTGGGTAGAATATTACACGATTTAAACCTACATTAAAGAGTCAATCTAGTAGTATGATTTCCCAGGCGAGGATAGTATTAAAACGGCCTTTTCTTTGTGACAATGACGCTATCATCAGAGTAAAGTGAGGTCTCATTTGACAGACGAATAACTGCATCGTGTTTTCGTTACCACTGGGGAGAAGGCCGGGGATTACTTGGTTTTCATGGGGAAAGGAAGGGGTCAGGCTTTTTGTAAAAGACTTTAAAGGGGGACTAAAGAACACTGACTGTCAATAAGGGGGGGGGGGTCATTAGATTACTACAGATCCTTATGGGGTAGACTATTTAAATTTTATCTTGACACAACCAAAATCCTTCGAGTGCTCCTCTTCCGCCTCCCCTACCCCCTCTCCTCGCAATAAATAATCCCGGTCTCTGAAGGTTTTGGGCAGAAGACAGCATAGACAAACCAACAATCGAACAGAATAATAACAAATCAAGAGACAAGGGAACTAACTTTATTTGCACAGACGACCGAACTGACTTTCCTCATTACCTCAAAGAGCTGGATCTACCCAGGGAATTAATAAAACATTTCTCCTGTATCTTTTGCGTCTAGCTCTGTCGCTGTCTTTGCAGCCGAAACCAACCTAGACGGTCCAGCAATAATAGGTATGGATCCCGCACAAGTAAACTTGAAAGCTTCCACTCATGGCAAACAAAAGTCTTCCTCGCAGAGTTCCAGTGATACCATGGGTGCTGGGGCAGCGGCTGGTATTACTTTTGGTGTAACAGCATTGGCTGGATTGCTGATCGCCGCCATGGTCATTGGCTGGCGTCGCCATAAGACCGTTCAAAGAGAAAGCAGCGGTTTGATGGAGCCACTGAATTCCGCTGGGTATGGCGCTGTCACTGAGCAAGGAAGCCCACAAGTTTAAATTACGCAACAACTTTTTCATTTTATTCAAGGTTAACGAATGTCAACAAGAAATTTGTCCAGGTCATAGCTTAGTGTCTCTTTAAACGTTTTTGAACTCGAAATTTTGCAATAAATGCGTTTTATGATAGTTGTTTTTCAATTGACATACTCTAACATAAGCGCTTGTTCTGTTGTAAGTGTTATGGAAGAAATAACCCTAATTTTTGAGGCACGAAGAATGTAAACAAATGATGGTTGTTTGATAAAGTACGGTTACACCTATTTACTCAGTGATGGAGCGCTTTTCGATTGAGTGTCGTAGACCAAACCCACATTAATGATAACAGCCAATCAGTAGTAAGAAAAATACCTTTAAGAGCCAATAAGAACCAAACTGCCTCAAGCACGGGAAAACGTGCGCTACACAGTCATGAATTGGTTTTAATTTTGCATCTGATAGGTTGAGAGAGTGGTGTAAGTTTTCATTGGACCAATCACAGATCGAAGTAAGCAAAAACAAAGGAATTCTGGATTACTTTCGACACTCACTTGGCAATTCCTCTATATCGAATAGGACATACACTGGATCATTATGTTGAGCTCTCTAACTTCATGACTAGAACTGTGTCGTTAACGTTATCAAAAAGGTGTTCAGTCTCTTCAGTAGTCGGTTTAAATAACTTCATTCGCATTGAACCACGCTAAAGAAATTAATGAGTTTGCAAATAAATAGATAAATGAATATATGAATAATGAATTAAGTGAGCTAGTAGAGACCATATAACGAAGTTAGAATTCAGATAAAAAGATGGAGAGAATCTTCCAAACCTGACCGCTAGATTTTCTCATTTTCTGAATGAGATTCTTGTGGCCTGCAAGTACCCCCATTTCGTTTCTAAAGGTCAGCCTCTCTCCAAACCTTTGAGAACAAATATCACTGGAGATTTCAAGCATCAAAAGAAAGAGGTTTACCAACAATTAGACATACATTTGGCATACCAGATACAAATCATACACCTTAGGGTTTTATCATGTTAACCTTTATTTCAGGGCTGCAATTTTAGGAAGATAACAAGCACTCAATAATCCTTTTTAAAATTCTTATCAAGTTGTTGGGGTGTCTTGGGATGGGAGGGAAAGTTCCTTTGGTTTGGTAGCTATTTGCGTGCCTTTTGAGGGCAGTCGGCTCATAATGGATATTCACCCTGTGGTTCTGCTCACCTTTGGTTGCTTAGCCTGTGCAAGGCTCTCGGTGAATAAAAACGAGTGAAAAGGGGCACCCAGCCCAAAAAAGGCGTAAGTATTCTTTCAATAACTCATTCCACCTGTTACGAGGATTGAATTATTTTTACTGAATCTGTCACGCAATCCCAGACTTTTCTAGAATTATCTATGATCTGTAATATTCCAGAAACTTCTTTCATGTGACTCAGCAGTTTCCAAAAATAGTACAACTTGTAATACGCTATAAATAGTAATAGAACATTCTAGATAACTAAAGTAAATGTATAAAAGCTGGCTTGTGAGAAGTACAAAAGAGATTTGCCCGAGGGCTTACCCTCGTGGCTTGCTGACTGAACTTTTGGAAGCTATGATATGACGAGGCTATGACCTTTTGACCTTGCGATATCCGGAGAGAAGAAAGAGATGAAAAAGACGATAGTCGAGAGAGGAAGAAGATAGAGAATACAGAGTTTACTATGGAGTCCTCCGGAAGAGTTTGTGTACAAGGAAAGAATGCGATAAATCAAGAAAGCCAAGCGCTGTGGTCTTCAGTCGGCGGATGTTGGAATTGGAAGTTGATCAAGACGACGAACACTTACACGGCATGAAGGATTGTAAGCCTGCTTTATGAACTGCTTAACTTCATCTTTAACCTAAGTCAATTAGACAATGTAAAACTAATTAAATAATAGTTAAAATGGGTAACTGCTTGTTATTACATTTTTGTTGCGTGCCATATATCGTACTCGGGAGTCTATTTTCATATATGCTTTGTTAGCGGACATTTGTTGGTCATTCGTGCACGTAACACACCTAACTCATCAGCTTCCGGAAAACCTGTTACCGTGTAAACATGTCAAATGTGCAGTGTAGGGTTCAGCGAGAAAGATCACAGCTAGTCTCCGTATTGATATTTTCATCACGTCACGTTATATCCAGACTATCTTATGCTTTCCATGTTTAAATGGTAACAGAAAATATTCTCTAAAACTCTTAAGGACTCATCACTTCCCACAAAACAAACAAGCAAACAAACAAACAAGAACAAATGAACAATAACTCTGAGTGATTTCGAGTTGCTTTACCGAGAACACTTCGCTAACAAATTTGAAGGGATCCACAATGCAGGCTGAAAAAACATGCACACGTACTCGTAAAATCTTATGATTCATCACGTTTCCGTTGGCCTGGTTCATATAATCATCATGCTTTCTAGAATAATTATACTGTTGATAAAGACACAGGGGGCCCACACAAGCGGCGTGTCTGGTCGTTTCTTCGAAATAAAAATAAATGTATGGGAGAATATTGAAGAGTCGTAATATCGTAAACTTATATCGAGGAATGTCTATGTTAAGGCTCAAAATAAATGTAAACCTACCTCACTTGCCGTGTATTGTCGTTTCTGTGGTTCTAAATGGCGAATTTGAGCGATTTGGTAGATTTTGGGTTGACTGTTACTCTACTGTATAAAACAGGTACACGTGCTTGTGAAGTCTTATGATTCATCACGTTTCCGTTGCCATGATTCATGTGATGATCATCATGCTTTCTAGAAGATCTGTTACATTGTTGATAAAGGATACAGCGATATTCCCCTTCACCGAGCAACCACATCCAAGCTGTAAAGATGTTATTAGCCACCTTCTACGTAGCCAATGAACTATTTGTGATGGCGCTAGCGGCTGGGTTTTTCCAAACATTTGGATTGTTTCAAGTTTCTTTGGTACTACTTGGATGTGGTCTTGTTTCCGCGGAAAATGATTCATCACCCCGATTTCTAGTTGGCGATTCACGAAACTGTCCTCTTACAAGCGGCGTTTATCGCTTCGAGGTTCTTCCGGGAGGCGGCTGGGACAACCTAAGAAATCTCCATATGGGCGCCGTTTCTGTGATGAATTATTCCAATTGTAAGACTTCGGACGACGGCAAGTATCTCATTCCCGATGATGTGTTCTTGTATCCTGTCAAGGAAAGCAAAGTGCATGAATTCGCTGAAATGTACGATCACTGGAATGACTATTCGTCCACCACAGCGAAGTCTATCAATGATGAAGCTTCGGGAAAATTTCATTTTGCAAGAATAAGTGGTTCGTATTCTTCTGAGTTCGAATCAGTGAAGAAACATCAAGTGGAAGGTAAGACTGTCAGCACACGAGCGCAAGTACGACATCATTTGTACACGGTGAAACTCCAACCCAATGCCCCTCTACAGCTAGGGTTCAAGTCACGTTTGCTTGAAATCGCTTCTCACTTACAGCACAACAATACTGCCTTTGCCAGTTTTCTCGCGCAGGTATTGGTTGGAGATTTCGGAACGCACTATGTTACAACTGTCAAGGCTGGAGCAGTCCTGGCTAAAGTCGATCACTTGAAGAAGAAATTTGTGGGTGATTTCGATAAAGACAAAAGTAAGATTGCAGCAGGAGCGAGTGCATCTTTTTTCGGGGTATTTGGAGCCAGTGCGAGCTATACTCACACAACTGACAAAAAAGTTTTGGATCAATATAAACAGAACACGGTTTATTCCACGGTATATACATTTGGAGGACCTCCATTCAGGGCGAATTTTACCATCAATAAATGGGAAGACCAAATGGCAGACGAGCTGGTTGCAGTTGATCGCTCAGGTGACCCTCTTCATTTTGCAATTACACCTGGAAGTGTACCAGAACTGTCTGAAGAACTGCTCTTTAAACTAACCAAAGTCGTTGAAAAAGCCATAAATCAGTACTATGAGCACAACACCATCAGAGGATGCACCAAAATGGACTCTCCGAACTTCAGCTTTCAGGCCAACCTCGATGATGGATCTTGCGGGAGCCCAACCAATAACTACACGTTTGGGGGTGTCTATCAAACGTGCCAATGTGAGGGCTCTCCAGCCAGTAATCCTTGTGGGTCCTTTGTCCAGAAGAACCCTCTCACAGCCGACTTTACCTGTAGTAATGGGTATGAAGCAGTTATGGTACATCAAGGTCGCACACCACAAAGCTGCCATCGCGAATGCCACGGATGGTTTGTTTTTAAAAGCTGTCACAACCTTTGTGGATTCTCCAACTACTACACCTACTGGTGTGTTGCGAAGGGTTTGGCGCCTCCTAATACGGGGTATCTTTTTGGTGGACTCTACAGCGACGTGTTAAAGAATCCAGTCACACAAGATCACAGCTGCCCATTGAAGTTTTACGCCCTGCGCTTTGGAGCCACCATGCATGTCTGTGTGAGCGATGACTACGAGCTTGGCGTCCAGCGGTCTGTACCTTTTGGTGGCTTCTTCAGTTGCAATGCTGGTAATCCTCTTGGTGTGAAGAAATCTGCAGATAGTGCCAAAGGATCAAACGGTATGTCACCTCCCTTTCCC